TCCAAATGCACCTGTAAATCTGTCCCCAGGTGAACTGTATCCTTCCAAAATGATACCCCATTGAAGCTATCTAAGAAATGCAACGATATGACCAAATCCTCCTTCATCCCAGCTGAAAGGCACCTCCAATGATGTGGCTTTGAAAGGACTTTCATAGCCTCACAAAGTCGCCTAAGGAAGGCCCTGCCTGGTGTTACTACTTTGCACGTGAAATTGAGATGGCCAACCACTACTTGCAAATCCCGCAACGTAACATTTTGACTAGCCAACATGGCCCTTAACCATAACCTAAGGTCCACTAATTTGTCCTCCGGTAACCTGCTAGGTTGTTGAGCTGTGTCTAACTCGATTCCCAGAAAAGTGGGAACCGCCCTTCCGTTTTTCTGCCACGAGGGGCACTCCTAACTCTCCAGCTATCCTCAGAAATGACTTCAGGATCTGTTCACAAAGGGAGGTCCCTTGCCCTCCACAAAAAATATAATCATCTAAATAATGCACTACACAGGGGAGCCGCACGCTGTGCTTGAGCACCCACTCCAAGAATGAGCTGAAATGCTCAAATGCTGCGCAAGATATGGCGCATCCCATTGGCAAAGCCCCAGCCTTCAAAGCAAACACAAGTAACTCAAAATCACCAGGATGTACCGGCAGCAAACAAAATGACAACTGAATGTCACATTTAGCCAGTCCCGCGCCATGTTCAGATACCTGAATCATGCTGCATCGAACGAGGTGTACTTAACGGAACACAATTCCTGGGGGATCATATCATTAAGCAATTCCCCAACCAGGTATGACAAATGAAGAATAAGTCTATATTCACCTGGTGCCTTTTTAGGCACCACTCTCAGTGGGGAGACCCTCAGTGTTTGAACCAGTGGCTCCTTAAATGGGCCTAGTACTCTTCCTTCTGCTACCTCTTTTCAAATCTTCTTTCTCACCACCTCTTCCATTCCTATAACTTATTTTAAATTTTTGGACATAGTGGTTGCCCTCTTACTTTGATATGGGATTGAGAGAGTTCAGATCTGATATGAGGCCAGTTTACAGGAACTGAAAGAGAAACTAAAGATATTACATGATCATCTCTTTTGCCAGTCTTTTGTTTCTTTTCACAATAGCAAAAGACTATAAGCTTTCACTGAAAACATCAGAAATATATTTGACTCCCCTGCTCCTTTTCTTATTTTACATGAACTGAGGGTTTCTGGCTCTTAGAGGCCATATGACAGGGGTCTCCAAACTTTTCACACAGAGGACCACATAATATATTTTTGATATTTTCAAGGGTTGAAGGAACGCACGCGTATGCCCGCCCTCCCCCCCGCCCGCACTCCCACCCACCTGCACGCTCACAGAACACGGCCGCATTCCCCCCCTCCCACATGCCTGCCAGCACTCCCACCAGCCTGCGCTTCCACCAGCCTGAATGCATGCACACACGCACTCCCACCCACATACACACCCATCCACATGCACTCCTGCCCACCCACCCACATGCACACCCCACCCACCAACACAGACACATGCACACAAACACACACTCCTGCCCACCCGCATGCCCGCCCCCACGCATGCACAAGTGCATGTGAGAACAGGAAAAAGGCCTGGAAGATCAGATAGAGGGGCTGTCTTCAAATATATAACTAGGAAACGGCAACTAGAGCTCTGACCCAGGGTGTGAAAATTTAGGGGACACAAAATTTGCTGTTGGAAGGGTACTTTTATTTTCCATTGTTTATCTGTGTATTCTGTAGGAGGTGGCCCTTGAAATTTTGCCCATGAAACATCAAGAATGTCTCTGTCTCCTGACATCTGAGACGAGGGTGTGCTGAAGGAAAAGAAGGAGAGTTGCTACATGCTGGGTGTCAGTAATGCCTTTGGTCCAGACATATGTGTTTTGGAAAATACCTTGGGTGGCGTGTTGTTGCTGGGAAAGAAACTCTAATCTAAACATCCTTCCAAACAGGGCATTGCACAAACAGCAAAGTCATAAGAACATTTTTTTTGTTTTTATTAGCTCTACTGAGGTAAAGTGCAAGTAGGTCTCTTTAACCTCATGCTATACTTCTGAAAGCGTATTTCATAAGGGTTAACTATGTTAACCACATTCAGAGTAATGCTCCCCAACAAGAGTTTTGTTAGCAGAGCTAACCATTATCCTGTCGTTTAAGACCTTGGTGAAACCGGCAGCATTTTCAAAGAACTCTTTAGAGTGAAAATGTGCTAATCCTGTTAGGTTTTTAAAAAGATTTCCCACAGCTCAAAGCATATTTACAGTGGCTGGGTCCTAAACCACCATCATAGGAAAACTCAGGAAAATAAAACATCAATAGCTGGTACTGCATGGCTGAAAGAATTCTCGGCTTTGGATCTTTCATGGTGTGGAAAGAGACACTCTTTTCCTCTTTGGCATCAAAGGGGAAAGGAATAACAGATGCATACTCTCATCTAGTGCTTGATCGGTACATTCTGAAGCTACTCAGATTGTAGCTGAACCAGGTATATGGACCCTCTGTATCTTTCAACTAAAGCACAGGCTCCCAAGCTGTGGGTCACAACCCCAAGAGGAGGGCCACAAAGTGTTTTCAGGGGTGGTGGTGTTGCAAGGCTTTCTATCCATTTGCCTATGATGAACAGAACAGGTTACTAGTTGCTTTGCTTTCTCATCAAGGGTTAAAAGCACTGAGTTGGTTTCCTAGACAGGAAGAGAGCTGGGGGAGCAGTGGGAGTGGGGTGTGCAGTTAAAAAAAGGTCCCTTCCTCTCTCCTCTTTTTTTAATCCAGAGAAAAGTGGGGATTCTCCTCCCTAAAGGGCTGCCTCTCCCTTCCAGGTTCTGGAGAATCCCTCCCAAGCTGTGCCTGGGGTGATGTTGGTGGGTCTCACCCAGCTGGGCTGGAGAGGAGGCTTGGAAAAGCTAGGGATAGAGTGGGAGCAGGTGGAATACAAATGGAAGGGAGAGAACCAACCTACCAAGCAATAGATATTTGGTGGCAGTGTTATGTATTGTCAAATTGTTACCCCTTTTGGGAGAGCTGTGAATTAAGGCTCCTCCACTCCCCCAAAACCTCACTCCTATAGACAACAAATCCTGCTCCTGTCCTGTATAATATGGTCCTGCACAATAAAGGCCATGGTTGCTCTATTGAGAGAATCCATCTCAAGTTGTGTCTTCCTCTTTTCCTGGCATTATTGTCTTTTCCAGGAAAGTTTGTCCTCTTACAATAGTTTACCCCATTAAAAATGCATAACAGAAGCATTCAATGAAAGGTCATCTCAAAAAGTACTCAAAAACTGGGAATGATTTTATAACTGGATTTAAAATATGGATCAGAAAGTATAGATAAAAGAAGAATGTTAAGGTCCAAGGGAATGAAGAGATTAGTAACTATAGATAATCAGGTAAAAATTACTAAATTGTTTCTTTTTGTGATCTAGCTTTTTAGCAGTACTGTGTAAATAGATATAAGAATACTCTTTTGCTGTCTGGAATGTTACCACTTCCCGATCATTACCCATCCCCCGTACCCCCTGTAAGGGTAAAGGTAAAAGTTCCCCTTGATATTTAGTCCAGTCATTTGCGACTCTAGGGCACGGTGCTCATCCCCGTTTCCAAGCCGTAGAGCCAGCATTTCTCCGTAGACGGTTTCCGTGGTCACGTGGCCAGTGAGACTAGACACAGAACGTCGTTACCTTCCCATTGAGGTGGTACCTATTTATCTACAGTTGTGCCCCGCTGGACGATTACCCCGCTCTATGACAAATCTGCTTAACGTTGAAGTTTTTGCGATCGCTTTTGTGATCGCAAAATGATGGTTTAAATGGGGTTTTTTGTTTCACGATGATTGGTTCCCTGCTTTGGGACCTGATTTTCACTTTATGACGATCAGCAAACAGCTGATCGTTGGGGTTCAAAATAGCCGCCGAAGAAAATGCCTCCCCCGCTCTTTTTAGGACTGATTTTTCGCTTAACATGCTCCAGAAAATGGCTGCCGTATGGAGGATCGTCGCTGGACGAGCAGGGATTCGGCCCACTGGAACACACTGAACGGTTTTCAATGTGTTTCAATGGGTTTTTAAAATTTTGTTTGACGTTTTCGCTCTACAGCAATTTCACTGGAACGAATTAACGTCTTCAAGCGAGACACCACTGTACTTGCATTTACATGCTTTTGAACTGCTAGGTTGGCAGCAGCTGGGACGAGCAACGGGAGCTCACTCCGTCGCGTGGATTCGATCTTATGACTGCTGGTCTTCTGACCTTGCAGCACAGAGGCTTCTGCCATCCCAATTCCTATTCCCATTGACAATGAACCAAAACATTTGCAGATCCTATGTTTTTATGCACATATGGCAGGGGGTCTCCAGTTATTTGGCTATTATAAAAGGGAGTCATGATTAGAAAAAGGTTGGGAAATGATCGTGTCAGTTATAGTTCTCACCTCTAAATTAAATGTGTGCAGTTGAAGACTGCTTCATACAGATTAACACAGATTACAGATTTCTTTGGCTGCACACCAGCACAAATTTAAAACCAATTTTTAATGAAATATAGTTGTACCCTTTGTATTTCATATGATAAAAAAACTCTCCATTACATGTGTCTTAGTGAACTCATGTGGAAGGAAAAAGTTGGTGTCTATGATAACTCTATTTGTGAACACATGCTTTCAATGGAAAGATTACTTGAGCTTTCATATAAATGATTATATTGGAATATGATAACGAACATTCAGTTGATTGGGGGTCAAACAGGATAGACACGGGCATTCAAACAGGAGGCTTATACCCACCATCAGGTCTTTTGAGCAGTTGTTTCTGCTACTGGAGGTTACCTATGTCCCCAAATTTCTGAAATGACTGAAAAATCCCATTGTCACAATTACATAGTTAAAGGAGAGACATTGCAAAGTTATCACTTGCCCGCATATCCCAGGCTGCTAGAGGATACATTGCTGCTTTGTGATGTCACAGCCACCATGGAAACGATATATCCATACACAGTTTGACATTAGATACCAGCAGAAGAGCACAGAAAGCTAAGAGAGGAGACAACATCTTGAGTCTGGCAAGGGTCATCAAATAGCTCAGCTGTCAGAACAGCAAAATGTATAACCATAGCCGTGGAAAGGAAAAAGGAAGCCGGCAAAAGGAGCCTCAGCCCTCGGGAAGCAGAGGTCTAGAACAGCTCATTTCAATGGATGAGTGTGCAAAACACATTATTGATAGCGCTTTAGTGAAGATACAGAAGCAGCTACTGGATAAAGCCAAGCAGAGTGGAACAAATAAGTCAAACAATCCTTCACATGGCTATAAATGCCATGATTCAAATTTTGAGAGGGCAGGGGCAACCATTGGTGCTAGGTTCTCTAACCTTAGCCCTTCCAGACGAGGAGGACAGCAGGAATCTCAGCCTCAAGAAACAAGAAAAGAAGACCTTTCAAGCATCCTCACCTCAACTATCCAAAAAGTAATGCGTGAAGCTGTCAGCAGTGCAGACGACAATTCCAGCGGCACAAACAGGGGCCAACGGCAGGCCCCTCCTCCTGGTAGCAGACAGCAAAAGATAAGGGCGGTTGCAAAACCAGTCGGGGGGACACGGGAAACACATGGCAATGTGAACCCTATGGACCTGTTGGATATCGATCAGTTAGTGAAGTCTGTGACCAAGTTGTGCCTCTTAGAGACTGCGGGAAATGGCTCACATTTAGCCAGTGGTGACACATCATATAAACACCACAGTGGCTCATCCCAGCATTTAGGAGGGCCAAGAAGAGCTTCAATAGTTAGATCAACTATGAGGCAAATGGGTCAAAATGGAGTGATTGTCACTAACCAGAATGTTGAGAGAGGCTCCTTGAACAAGGAGCTCCAGGCGGTCCTCCAGTGGATGGTGGCTTCTCACTTCAATGTGCCCAACCTGACCTTCCTAAATGACAGAGAAGGAGAGCTGGCTGAACTCCCTCGTCTGGCTCAGAAAGCGACCAGCAAGGGCTACAGTGTGGGAGATATTCTTCAGAAGGTAATGAGATACCTCGAAAGAACACAAGTGGAGGAAGCAATGGGGAAAAGGCCTCCGTGTGGGCTGATTCGCTGGCTACATGCCAACTTGTAAGAGCCAACTCTTCCCTCTCATACTGCTTCTGCTCAGCACAGGCACCTCCAACCACAAGCTTTCCTTGTGCACCTGATACCACAGTACAGCGACAAGTGACAATAAACTGCATTCAACTGATTAGCCACATGATAGCTGGGCAAGATCACCAATTAAAAACATTTTTTTAAAGTGAGAATTGGAAAGAGTGAGCCTCTGTTTTAGTAGTTCAACAGGGACACTGACGAGTAAGCAGAGAGAACTGATACAGTAGATGCCTGTGTAGCTGCATATGTTTCTCTTCTCTGCAGTGTGGGAGAGAGGGTTCATGACCTACCATTGTTCCCAGTACTACTGTGTAATTAAGGAGGCAGGATGGGTGGGTATACTTCATATAGTTCCAATGCAGTGGCCATTTAAGAATCTCTAGCTGTCCATAAATGGATAGCGAAATAATTTGTGGTTCATGGTGGTGCTGACTACTACAGGTTTGCTCTTGGCAGTGACACTACTCATACAATTGTACACAAAAATCTAGAATTCTCAGCTAAGAACATCTAGAAGCTTCCACTGATGTATACATGCACACAGGAGTTTAATTTCTGCATACAGCATAGGTTTTCAGCAAGTCGGGTGATCTGTGAAAGGGAAGAGCAGGGAGAGGAGCTGGACACATCAGCAGTTAGGAGAGTGAAAACAGGTTGAGGCAAAGCTGGGTTTTTGTTCCTCTCTGTAGATCCTCCCCCCACTGAAACTGAAAACAGTTTCATGTCTGAGCTCTTGATAACTTTGCATGGTTTCTTGTTCTGTTTCACAGTCACGAAGTCAAGATCCAGTGTGTAGTTAGAACTAAATTAAATGCAGAGATTCTGAGATTCAAGAAAAGTCTAATAGTTTTGGACTAGGAAGCCTACTGAAAGTTGCAGAAAGAACTAGATTACCCTTCCCCAACCTGGTGCCCTCCAGATGTGTTAGGCAAAATACATCTGGAGGATACCAGCTTGGCATCAGGCTGTCCCCAACCTGGTGCCCTCCAGATATGTTAGGGAAAATACATCTGGAGGATAACAGCTTGGCATCAGGTGTTCTTGATCCTCTAGTCATGCAATAATTATAACTGGTCCTTCATTCAATGTACCTTTTTACACACACGAGAAGGATACTTTAACATTCCCAGACATATCCAATGACTGCAGGAGACTTCAGAATATTTTAATAATAATAAAAAAAACAGATACATGGGTATGTTATTCACATGGCACAGCATAGCAGAGTTTTATGCAAGGACGCCCAGTTAATTCAATAGCTGGAAAAACTGATTATCCTACTGTGTGTTACATATATTCACTGACTTGCCTTCCTCTTTGAAGAAGCGCTCTCTAAAAACACTAGTGGCATCTCTTGGACAAATAATCTATTTGTGACAAATGCCCTCATGTAACCTCTTTGCGGGCACCAAAGCGGGCAGGGTTGGTTGTACCAAGCTTTTCTCACAGAAAGGCCTGGATAGGCAGGGAGAGCTGATACAGTCTCTGGAAATTCCCAGTGGACTTTTTTTTTAAACTCAAGTGTACATAAACAAAAGGGGTCTCTGTGTGTGTGTGTGTGTCTGGAATACAGTCTACAGAGTGGATTGCGAGTAAGTCTCTAGTATGTCTAGGCAGTTAAATTTTGCCACAGGAAAGCTGCCTCTGGAATTCTGGGTGGTTTGTTTCCTCCCTGCGTTTATGCTGTGCTTCATCATGGGTGTAACTGAGCCTTCCCTCAAAATGAAAAGCCACTTTTCAGATGGGGAACATAGAGGCGATAAGAAGGCAGGAAATGCTTAGCTATTCCTATCCATTCTGTTTCCCCTCCAGATTGAAGTAAGACAAAAGTGGCTTTAGAACTCTGTGTGCACAGTATATTTGAGGAAGATGGGGGGTGGGCGCGGGGGGGGAGAGATGCTTAGAAATGGCAAGATAAAATAATACATGCCATTTTTGTTTTAACATCTGCCTTCCCCAAAGCCATGTTTCATTAAAGAATAGTGCTAGGGCTCAGTTACATAATATTTGAATGTGATATATAGGTATATGTCTTGTAAAATAAATAGCTGAAATTTAGCTGCTGGGTTTTATTGATTCATCCCTCCTCTTGTACATGTGAGTGATTCTGGTATTAAAAACAATATTAATTGATTTGTGAGGATAAAGGACACTCAGGTTTTTTTTTTTAAAAAAGCAGCAAATATATTGTTTTGTCAGAATCCACAAATTTTTGAGAAAGATTTTTGAAAAATAGCAGATTTCCAAAACTGAACAAGTGGGTATCTGCTCCTTCCTGTTTCAGCAAAATCCAAAAACTTTCTCCAGGATTTAAATTCACCAATGTTGCTTTTTGCTGACCAAATGCTGCACTGGGAAGTAACTCCATATAAATAATGAGCTATTTATAGTGACGTCCTTTTTTCAGTATCTAAAGCATAACTAAGTAACATACATGGATGACATAATAAAGAATAATTTGACTCTTTTTGTGGTATAAGAATTGTTTTAGGCCTCTGTAATGGATCTGTCATCTCTCTCTCGTCCGGGACTGGCCTTCAGGACCACAACAGGGTTATTAGTTTGGTTGTTATATTTGTATCACACTTTTCATTTAATTTGCTCACAGTGATATCTATGGCTTTCTTCCTCCTCACTTGATCCTCAAAACAACCTTTGAGTCTGGCTAAGAAAATGTGACTGGTTGAAGGTCATCCAGTGGGTTTTGTGGCCAAGTGCCAGATTCAAAAACAAGAGTAGAAGGTTCAGTTGGTACTGTGCTTTAGCCAAGAAAATGAAAGATTTCGGATGCAAATGAGATGAAAGCGGAAAGACCTCCATCCTCCAAATCTGCAAAATCCAAGACCTGAAATGTGAAGCCAAAGCTACCTCTCTCCATACACATCTGCAATCAGTTCAAGAGCCAGTTCACTCAGGAGTGTGATTGATCACAGCCCACATCAACTTGTTGAAAAACTACCCTGACAATTGCTTTGTGTCTGAGTGAGAAGCAACTAATGAAAAAAGGAGTCAAATTCAGGGATTTCCCCCTGCTTGATATCTCTTTGTGAGTGGTAGTGAGTACAAGAGGGTATCCTGTAGATCAGTAGTCCCCAACCATGGGCCTCCAGATGTTCTTGGACTTCAACTCCCAGAAATCCTGGCCAGCAGAGGCAGTGGTGAAGGCTTCTGGGAGTTGTAGTCCAAGAACATCTTGGGGACCACTGCCGTAGATCATCTTGACTACTGACATTAGTATCATCAACATTTGAGCTGCATTTTGCTATGCACAGTTTGGCATTCTTTTTCCTGCTTCCAGTACAAGCATGATACTGTGCAGCAATATCAATCCATTTCTTGGTGTTTTGAAACATCGAAACAGAATCACAATATTGCACATCGATAAACTTAAGGGTGCTTTTTTTTGTTTGGAAGTATTTAATTTCCTGGCTTTTTAAAATAGGAGTTCTTGTATACGTATACTACACACATACTCCAAGAGCAACCTCTCTCGTGTAAATTACCCAGTGACAGAAGATCCTAGAACATGATTCCATTATCTTTACTATGGTTGCTGGGGCAGGGCAGAACCAAGAACAGCTGGGATGTGGCTGTAGGGGGAACTAATAAATTTAACATGTGGTGTTGGAGGACAGCCTTACAGATACCACATACAGCCAGAAAGGCAAGGCAAGTCTGAACTCTCACTAGAGCAACAATAGATAAATTAAGGCTATTCTGCCTTCCACATATAATGAGAATGCAGAACTAACTGGAAGAGACAATATTGCTGGGAAAAGTGGTGTGAGTGTAGTAGGAGAAGAGGAATAACTAACATGAAATGGCTTGACTCAGTAAAAGAATCAACAGCTGTTAGTTTGCACAAACTGAGGAGAACCTATTGGAAAAAGCAATATTGCTAGGAAGAATGGAGGACAGTTGAAGAGAGAACAACCTAAAAGGAGATGTTGCCAGTTTGCAAGCTCTGAGAAAAATTCAGACCTCGCAAACTGGCAAGGATAGGATATTTTGGAGGTTATTAATTCATATAGCCACTACATATCAGAAGTGACTTAATGACACATAACATCTTTGAAGTTTTTAAAAATTACCAAGCAATTGTATAGTGACAAGATGGTGCAATGTTTGAGATACCAACTACCTATTGGAGACTATGACAAGATGTAGGCACCAAGGCTCTACTAACATCAAGTAAGACCATCCACAGCCACAAAGCAAAAAACAGTAATATCACAGTTTAAATGAGAGAGCTTCAAAATATTTGTTTATTTTATTTATTTATTTATTTATTTTATTTAATTTATACCCCGCCTATCTGGTCGGTGAGGACCACTCTAGGCGGCTAACAACAATAAAATACAATAACAATATAAATAAGCAATTCTAATTAGTAAAAACACTACAATACATTACATAGAGTGCAAAACAGAAACAGTAAAGAGGGAAGAAGGAGGTCAAGAGGAATATGATGGAAAGGCCTGCCCAAACATCCATGTCTTCAATTGTTTCTTAAAGATACCCAGCGAGGGAGACCCGCGAATCTCAGGAGGGAGATTGTTCCAGAGGCGAGGAGCCACCGCTGAGAAGGCCCGATTTCTTGTCTTCTCCTTCTGGGCCTCCCTCGGCGTTAGGCTCCTCAACCTCACCTCCTGGCTCGCACGAGTGACACGGGTAGAACTTGGTGGGAGTAGGCGTTTCGCCAGATATCTGTATGATTTTAAAAACATTTAAAGTTGCTATTCTTTTTGTGTTTCTATTTTTACAACCAGACACAGAATCCCCTTGCAAGCATGAATCCTATTAGCCTAGTTGACCAGGAAGGAGTTAAAAGGTTAGCTAAGAGTCAACTAATTGGTTCCTGATTGGCAGGGTCAAAGTTCATATTGCCTCAGAGGTGGAGCTGATTCCCCCTTTGAAAACTTATGTGAGGAGACTGTATGGTCTCAGAAATCCTGAAGGAATGTTTAGTGAAAGTACTAGAATAAAACACAACTGCTATCTGTTTTTCTAAGGTAAAGGGAAATACTTTTAGCCTTACAGAATTGTATGCTAATTCCCTGGAGATATGTGGCAAAATTTTCTCTCTTCTAAAGGACAGTCACTCCATTACAGTGGTGCTTTGACTTACGAACGCCTTGAGCTATGAACGTTT